TACTTTATTAAACATTTCTTTCAATGTAAGTTGTTTAAGTTTTGCTTCGTTTCATGTGATACTTTCTCTTTAATTCTATTAAACAGACATAATTTCTTGTTCAGTTACAAAGTTCCACTGTTCAAGTCCTATAATTGCTGTGTCGAGAACACCGACTAATTTGTCAATCGAAATTTTTTCGTTTTCACTAACCTCTGTTACTTTCTTCGCTATCGGAAGCGAATTATAATGACGAGGAACTTGTTTTAAATCATATCAAAGACGGAGCGCATCGAGATGAAATACTAATTTAATAAGGAATTATAAGCCAAATAAAATAAAAACATCTGCCCTGAAGATTAGGATAGTGCTGACAGATCAACTTCCAATTCATGACGCGCTCGCTGCGGCGTTCCCCCCGCCGAGCAGCGTGAAATTGATAAACAGATTTCGGATTTCAAAACATACTTTCGCTTTAGATCCTTTACATATTAACAAATATATATCGGAAATTCTATTTGATATAATCGAAAGTTTAAGCTTACTTTTATAAAATTGCTCTTACAGTCTGCAAAATAATAAGCCGGATCCAATTCGAAAATTAAGGAACAACGCAATCATCAACTTTAACTGAAATAGATAATTAGATAATTTTAGCTTATACGTCCATTATACATAAAACGCGCACGCGAAAACATATTCTGCACTTGCGCACACTCATATGCGCAGTCGTAAAAGGTCTTACGCACACGCGTAAACGCCTATGCGCATGTGTCAACGCGGCGCATGCGCAGAATGTTTTTAGTTTTGAGGTCCGGATTATAGATCATTCCGAATTATGGGTGTCCGAATTAACGACTTTTGACTGTATATACTGTTAAAAGACCATTCGGTTGATCTTTGGATTATGGTAATTTGGTGATTTTTTGGCGAAAATTTGGCTACCAACTCTGCTACAGAAACCCTCTATTTTTTTTCGCCGCCATTTTGTCTTCACGAAGACATGTTTCTTTTCTTTTTATTTACTGAACACATTTTCCAACAATCTACTAGCCGAATTACACTTATGCTAGAAATTTAATGTAACAAAACTGCTTACTCAATGTAGTATTTCATCTCAATGTACTCCGTCTTTGATATGATTTAAATCAAATGCCTCGTCATTATAATTTGCTTCCGATAGCGAAGAAAGTGACATAGGTTATTGAAAACGAAAAAATTTCGATTGACAAATTAGTCCTTATTCTCGACACAGCAATTATAGGACTTGAACAGCGGAACTTCGTAACTGAACAAGAAATTATGTCTGTTTATAGAATTAAAGAGAATGCATTATCACATAAAAAACGAAGCAACTGCAACAACTTACATTGAAAGAAATGTTTAATAAAGTAAACAAATAAATATTAAGCTTTTTTTTTTTTTTTTTTTTGTAAATTTTGATACCCTTTAGATCATAATTGTTCTTTATTTCGTAAATTACGGTTTCATATTTTTACTTTTATAATTTCAGCATGCCATTTTACCAGATTTAAACTGATGATCTATAATCCGGAAAAATCGATAATCCGGAATCACCGAAGACCCGACGAGTCCGGATTAACGACTTTTGACTGTATACCCTTTCCAAAGATGAACGTTTCACCTATAAAAGAAATAAAATATCCAAAAACTTTTACCTCTAAATTATCTATTATATTATAAACGTCACCAAGAAATTCATACCTCAAACATTACAAATGGTTACAAATACTTAGTGTATTTAAAATATTTAAATTAATTCCATGCAAATTTAAAATTATTTCCATGCACGTTTACTTCCACTGAAACGTATACCAAATTCCTACAAACATATAATTCACAAAATAACTATCATTTAATTAAAATATAATTAAATTCAAAAATACTACTTAAAATATAAAAATCATTGCTAATAACAATTTTCCAATAATACCATATTATTTTATTTACTCCTTACATTTAGAACAATGCATAAAAATAATATCTTCAAATAATTAAAAATACTAACTTACCTAATCTTCAGAATCTTGATTACGTGTCCGATAAACTTTTCTTATTTCCTCCGCTAAATAAAAAGCAAGCGTATGTGCGCCTGTTTCAGGATCTTTAAAATCATACTTATAGTTCACAGCAAGGTACCAGGTAAAATAAATACTTTAATAAAACATCTTTACTTCTATCTCGCACAACCTTAAAAAAACACTTATTACTACCCCTTTCAATCCCACTAAATACCCATTTCGAATTCACTTTAGTTAGGGCCATAGGATCCAAAAATTAACGAACACTGTTTCACACAACACAGAATAAAGCTAAATACAAAATTTCCAGATTTTTTCCCGTTTCCCCCCCCTTTTCCGATTAAAGAACTGTAATTCGCCCATTAATGTCGCATGACATATCTCATTTCCCTCACACAAAATAATGCGTAATCGGAACTGAGTACTTCTCACGTTATAACCAAAGTCCTAGGTAGTAACCTTTATCGCCTCCAAAATGTCGCCAAACTACCAGTTACCATATTCCAAAGATCAGCCGACCATTCATTACATATTCTGAAAACATATACATAGATCTCCCTGTTTTCAAATATGTTATTCAAATAATGGTAATTGGTTTTTGTACTTATAAAAATTTTTCTTTTCAGTCCCCTCTGAAAATTTGGATAAAAATGTGCTTTTTAAATTATGTGTAGATAAAATAAAGTAAAATAAGAGATCAACTTCATCTGCAATTTGCAAGAAAATTTCCTGAATTTAAAAAAAGAAATGTATTTTCTTACACAAAAAGTAGAATAATAAAACTTCAAGCCTTTAAAAAAAAAAATTGTGAATTTTTTAATTTATAAAAATTTTATAGTACAAGATCCAGATTCAGAAATATATGTATATACACGTGTATGTATGTGTGTGTCTGTATACAGTGGCTCCCAAAAGTGTTCGTACAATTATGATTTTCATTGAAATAGGGCTTTATCTATTAATTAAAAGTAAACTTTTTGAATGAGATTTTAATAATAAGATCTATAATCTATTCGTAACAAAATTACACGAAATATTTTTTAAATATAGTGAAACTTTATTTTTAGGAAATTAATAATTAAAAAATGACAAATATTTTATCTCACAAAAATCTTCGTACACTGAAATATTTTTGGATAAAATCAAAATTAGAATTATCATTTGGCGCTTTTTTTTATTTTTGCATTGTCGTGGCATTTAAAAAAATTGTTTGCTTTATTGTTTACTTCATAATATTCTATTTTTATTGAAAAATGGGTTGCAATGGTAAAGAAATTACAAACAGCATTCGAAAACTGATAATTTTTCACCCTAGCAGTGGTAAATCAATTCGAAATATCGCTAAATTAGTTAATTTATCGCACTATACAGTGCAGTATGTGATAAAACGCTTTAAAGAAGAAAATCGGATTGAAAACAAGGTAAGAAAAGGTCGACCGAGAAAGTTAACTAAACGTAATAAGAGATTTAGTATTAGAAAATTTGTGAAAAACCCACGTTTGACTGCTGTAAAAGTTTCTGCAGAATTTAATGCAAATTTTTTTCTTCAATTTCATCTGAAACTGTTCGAAGAGTTCTCAGAGAAACTGGACTACAGGGGCCTTTCGCCCGTAAAAAATTTTTTGTCAGTGACAAAAACAGAAAGCTTAGGCTTTCATTCGCAAAATCAATGATAAGTACCCCCGAAACATATTGGAACAATGTCCTTTTTGCTGACGAAAGCAAATTTAACATTTTTGGTTCCAATGGTCAAATAACTGTATGGAGAAGGAAAAAATGAGGAACTTCATTCTAAGAACTTAGAACAGTTAAGCATGGCGGTGGAGGTGTTCTTGTGTGGGGGTGCATGGCAGCATCAGGACAAGGTAATTTGGTATTTATTGATAGCATAATCAATCATTCTCTTTATTTAAATATTTTAAGAGACAATTTAAAATTATCAGCCAAAAATTTGGGTATTGGAAACAACTTTATTTTTAATCACGATCCTAAGCATATGACTCTCAACGTTCGCCTGCGGTGTCTTATAATTGTCATAGGTTTTTAAAACACCACCTCAGTCACCAGATTTAAACCCCATAGAGCACATTTGGAAAAAATTGGAGATTAAAGTACAAAAACACGACATCAAAACGAAAAGCGAACTCAATAAGTCATGATGGAAGAATGGATGAACATTGATACAGAAATTACAAAAAAATTAAAAATCTATTCCCAGACGTTTGAAAGCTATTGTGGATGCTAAAGGATATCCTACTAAATATTAATTTAATGAAAAAAGAAAATATTTACTAAAACATGAAGACTTTTTTTGAAGTGTACGAAGACTTTTGCGAGATAAAATGTTTGTCATTTTTTTATTATTAATTTCTTTAAAAAAAAGTTTCACTATATTTAAAAAATATTTCATGTTATTTTGTTATGAATATACTATAGATCTTATTATTAAAATCTCATTCAGAATGTTTACTTGTAATTAATGGATAGAGCTCTACTTCAATGAAAATCATAAGTGTAGAACACTTTTGGGAGCCACTGTATATGCATACATGCACTTATACACACTTATATAGTAAATTTAAAATTATGTTAAGTTAAAATTATTAAGTAAATTTAAAAACACAAAACATGACATTAAAATTACATCTAAAGCAAAAAAACTGCAAGATTTTAATATGACGTCTGAACTTTGAAAATAATATGTAGCATGTTTTAACATTTACCAGACTAATTAAACAGGCGCGCGCAAAATAAATTATGTTAAACAGTGCGGTTAAACTTATAAAATCTAAATATACACAGAAGGGAAACGAAATACGACCCCTCAAATACTGAGTTAAGTTTGTTTTCCTGCATACCATCCGGTGGAAGAGTGAGCAATAAAAGCAAAATCCTAATTCTATTATAATACGTAAACAGATGCACACAGATAAGCATTAAAGATTTACAGAAAATTGTTTTGCTTCATATTTTAACTACCTGCAAGTTCACCCAGATCCCCGTAAATTCCAGGTTTCATATTAACGTCCCAAATTAGGAATTCCTTAAAAAAGATGTTAAATTACGAAGACCCGTACATCACAACAAATCCCATGAAAATGCATGATGCCATATTTCGGCAGATAAATTTCAAACGCAAAACAAGAATATCTTAGTATTTCGATTACGAAAACTATAAACTAATATTTAGAATAGTAAAAGTGAAAGTATATATTGCAATGCGACAAAATGTTTCAGTGAAATGAGTTTAGTTTTAGAGATAAGATATAAAATTTTATTCAAGCAGTAATACTTCACGCGCTAAAAGTTTTTCTTTTATTCCAGTAAGGTGTTGATTAAAAATATGGGCAAAAATGACGTAATAATACAATATCTTTAATCCCGTTTTCCCCATGTATTTTCCTTTTCTCCTTAGCACCTATTCCCCACATGATATTTACTTCCGTTGGCATGATGAAATGTCGCCCATATACTTAAAGGAGGCAAGTTGACGCAACCAAGGCTGTTCACCGAACCTTATCCGCTCACTTTATTATCGCCATCTGTAGAGTGGCGTAATTGCCACACTGCTGCTTCGCTGTCCTTGATGCTGATAAGTAACCTTCGGGGTCTAAATTCGATCCGCAACGTAGAAACAGTTTATGTATTTCCGAGTCAAAGGTTACCTTCTGTCTCTGGAATCAGTAACTGGAACAGATTTCTCAAGGCAGGCGGGGATTTGTAGTAGGTTACCGCAATAACAATAATTCACTTTATTCATTAGCAGAAAAGTGCATAAAGTCTGTTTTCTATGTACAAACAATACATTTATTCAGAACCAGCGGCAGGCATTTTGCTACCCGATGCAATCGCTACGAGAGCAAATTTCTGCTACTCATCACCTTCTGAGTTCTAAAAATGTTTTACCTCTGGAACTTTGCTGCCCTCTGCTTCTCCTAAACACCAAAAATTTTGCCATACCGAAATTTTGCTCTTCTAAAGTCCGAAAAAATTCACCCTTTAATTCTGTAGTTAGTTGCGGCCGCAAGGATTACACCGGCTCTGGCGCTTGCTCTTCTGTTACTAACTACACAATATTGTTCGAAAGCTATTGTTTTATTGGGATGATTTTATGAATGCAATCGAATCTGAATGTAGAGAATTGTCCGAGACAGGCAATATAATTCTTTAACTCGGAAGCGTCTGAAGTAGACATAAAAATATGCAGTCAGTCAAAAACCAATATGTATGAACCTTGTTATAAAGATCTCATCAAAATGAAGAAGTAAATGGTATTTTATACAAACAGTACAAGAAGGAGCTTCTAAAAATTTATCTTACATTATAAATTATTTTTTGGAGAAAATGTTTAGCATTGAAAACCTTTTTTACCTTTCAAGGAATATAAGCTTCAAACTTCTTTAACAAATGCTTTAAAGTTATTGAATGGCTCATATTTTTTTTTCCTGTTTAATTTGAAAGTTGGTTAACGTTCAGTAGGAGGTAATAAACATGGTGTATTTTAGAAAATTATTTATGTAGTGACAATTGTAAAAGTGGTAGGCAGCGATATGCAGTCGTTTATGTCCCTAATAGTTTCTAATTAACGTTCACCGAATGCAGTTGCACACCCCACCAACTAAAAATTAGCTGGAATATTTCGTAATTCTTTAGCCTGAAATCCACAAATATGATTTTTTGTCTTTCTTTTCCATTGCGAGTATTGAATAAACAATTCCACTTTATTGTCATTATATTATACTCTGAATGTACACAATTAGTTCTTGATGCCGATGCAATCTGAAACTTGACTTGCGATTTCAAACCACTCCTTCATGTGGTCTGTTCCCACTTTTTTATAACGAAGAATAGGTAGTATTCCACTACAGCTTGGAATAAAATTCTTACTACTTAAAATAATTATTGTTAATGTCTAATCTTCTTTCATTCCATGAATCGCAAGAGAAAAATAGCATCAAACTTATCGCAAGATTTCCTTCTTAAAACGTTAAAGTGTGAAATATTTGTCTGATTAATAGGTGCTTTTTACTGCATTTGAAATGATTGAATTACTGTCACATTAAAGGCAACAAATGACTCGTTGTGATTGGTGAAAAAGCGAAATACCTTTCATGGTTGGCAAATCTTAATTCATAAGTTGACAGGGAGAAGATTTAATTAATAATAAAATCTTGTTTGCACACAGAAGTTATTACAATCTATCATCTCAAAGAAGAGATCTCCATTAAAACATTCTAAAAATTAAAACTACCAAAAAATTAAGAGATATGAAAAATTATACAAATGCACTTCTGGCCAATAAAATTTCTACACCATGAAGAAAGCACTAAACCTGAAATCCACCTGAAAGGGAGAATAGGCTGGAATAATCCTTTCACTGCGTTGAAACCTCCAAACTATATTCGAAAGCAGATAAAACTGCTGATGTTTCAAATTGAAAATCGTGTCTCTCTACGTTACTGGTAAGAATATACGGGATCAAGAATTTTGGAATTTGGTGTGTTGTACAACATTAAGCATCGCCAAATACGATGCGATAACATCAGGAACTCCACAGAATTTAAGCAAAGCAGGTATTGCTTCAGTTTCCCTCGATGATCAGCACAAAAATCAGCTTCTAGAATGGTGCATTCAGCTGTGTACAAGGCCCCATCAATGCCATTATTATTTGTTTTCGCTTTTAATGCACCATTCGTGTGTATTTACGAACCACCATCGTTTGGATTCCTAGCTTCTTGAATCTACAAGCAAAAGAGTATCCATGGATAGAGGCACCAAGGTAAACGACCATTGAAAATTCGCATTTCTCATCGTCCTAATGATCTAAAACCTGGATAGAGAGTATGATGTGCCACTGAGTACATATTCCTTCCCCGTTTATCTTGTATTTCCATCAGCCAGTATTACAGTACTGAGTTATTAATACGGAGACTTCCAACCCATTCAACAGGATAATACGAGATCGTATGCTGACTCTATTTATGTTTTATCGATACATATGAAGTTCGACTCCTATCTTGAACAGCGCGAGCTTCAGGTATCTCACTAATATAAAACATCTGGTCAATGGTTGAAGAAAAACTAGCATGACAGCACCTACCAGCCAGTACGACAGATAAATTCTAGCATAGAACTGAAACCGCGTTAATTGCATACTCGCAACCAAGGCGGCTAGTTCAAATGGTGTAATCCTCCCCAAATAAATATCAATCCCCAATAATGATCCCCAATAATGATCAAATGGTCTCGTGCAATAAAAATGAAGCCATGAAAAGTCACAGTATGACGTCATAACCTAGCATGGTGGCTGTCATAAGTGGACTTTTGATTGTTTTTTTTTACACCCTAATCGGAATTGTCTACATGTCAGCTACTCATCATTGAACGATTGTAAGTCTCCCGTTCTAATTTTAATATTTAACATAAAAGACTTTAACCGCTTCGAGCCGGATAGCGAAAACGCGCGCTTATCGCTGAGGCCGGCAGTGTCTTACGCGAGCGTCTCTCCAGGGCCGGGGGCTTTTTTCCTACTAAGCCTAAATCCATGAAATTTCCGAAGTATCTACGCATTGTTTAATAATGCTCTATAGAGTATTTAAACAGCTTATGCTTTATAGATATTTTTATATATATACTTTAATTACCTTACTTCTTGTTTAAATGCATATTTTACACATTTTATTTTAATTACTCACCATTTTATGAATTTTAACATTATACATCTGAAAACTAAATATATTACTTAAAATTCTCTTTTCGTATGAAAAATTTGAAAACAGGGATCTACTACACACAGTCCTACGTTACATTCCTTGCACTCGTAATAACTCATTTGCCGATTTAGAGTATTTTTCCGGGAATGTGAACAAACGAAGCATTGTCGTCTCATTTTCTTATCAGTCTCTTCTGAACAAAGTTTTGGAAAATGTCTTTCGGTTAATCTGCGCGGATTTAATGATTCTGCTGATCTTGGTGTGATATTAACATTGGTGCTTTTAGAAGAATATCGATAAATAATTTGATTAACTAAATTAAGCCGATAATTCAGGAGAGGAAGATTTTTTTTTACTTTTTTTGTTGAAAAGAGTATTGGCGTTAAATACAGCCATATCCATGATATTGAAGAAAAGCTTCTTATACCATGAGTTTTTCTGAAAGATGGGTACTGAATAATGACAGAATCGCTTAAATCTACTCCTCCCATATTTTTGTTGTATTCTACGACACACTCTGGCTTCATTATAGGATTAGATATTGCTCGATCTTTTTTACCAGTATCACACATTTTTGCATCATGCATAGTTGATATCATTAGCACTTCTCGTCTATCTTTGAAAGCAGTTAAGTTTAAGTTCTTTTTCTGCAAAACCAACATCTCACTGATTTTCATTTTGGGCGGCGGAAAATTTTCAGGCATTCCTTTCCTTCTCTTCATTACAGTCCCACATGTATTTGTTTGTAGTGCGAAGAGTTCTTCCGCTAATGATGGAGACATAAAAAAAACGATCAATATATAAATGGTACCCTTGACCAGAAAGTTCTTCAAGTAGAGATTTGACAACTCTTTCCCCATATAATCCTAAAGTTTCCTTTAACGCCGTATCTTTTCCCGCATAAATGATAAAATTGTATATGTATCCTGATTCAGATTCACTTAATTTATAAAGTTTAATTCCATATCGCGACCGTTTAGAAGGGACGTATTGGCGAAATCCAAGTCTTCCTTGCCACAGTAATAAACTTTCATCTATTGATATATTCCTCTCACGGGTGTAAGCGGACTTGAAATTTTCAATTATTTTATTTAAAACCTGGTTGAAACTTTCCGATTTTTTTGGCATTGCTGCTAGTAAAATGTAAACATCTAAGAATTACAACGTATCGATCACGACTCATTACGCTATTAAAAAATGGCGTTGCAAGCACGGGATTCGTTGAAAAGTACATTTTGATTGTGGGTTTCTTTATAATACTCATCAAAATTGTTAGAGCAAAGAAAACAAATATTTCTTCCACTGTACCAGGTAAATACTTCGAAGCAGCTGCTCCATATTCATCCTCAGGATATTTACTCCTCTGATACAGATTAGTCTCTTCAGTAATTAATTTCATTATTGTATCATCAAAATAATACCTA